TGAGTTCCGTGCGCTGAAATGGCCTGAGAGGAATTTCTCTACAAAAAAAAACGAAAAAAAAATGTGGGGACGGCCGTCCTATTTGTATTTTTTTGAATTGATAAAATAGACTATTATTTTCTTGACCCTGAGTGATGTCGTTGTGCAAGTAAAAGGCACGAAGCTCACTGTCCGTTTTCGTTTAAAAACTTGTTTATATTACATTTTTATTTTTATTCGTATAACATCGAAATTAGTTAACTTTATTTAGAAATTAGCGTCGCGGTTAGAATGCTACGTCGCAATTAAAGTGCGATATCGCGGTTAGAATGCTAGATTGCAATGAAGTTGTTACTAATTAATTTAATTGTAAATAATCGACTTGCTTGTAAAATAACTTTTAACTTTGTAATAAAATTTTAATAAATTAGTTTCGACTAAATAAAACGTTTTTCTTAAATCACTAAACCAAAATTATTCGCTAATCAAACTAATTCGTTAGTAGCCAATTCATTCTGATCACATAATCATAAATTTTATATTGTTAACATCAATTAACACGTTCTCCCAAACAATAATTGGTGACAATATTAATTTTCATTTATTCTCAGAACGCATAATTTTACAGGGATTATTTCATTGCTTTTATAATTTGGAAAATTTTAATAATCCTATTTATCATTATTATTATTTTTGTGATGGTATTCTTGATCTTGTTATTGATATGAGGTTTTAAAATTATCATCAATAGAAAAAAAAGAAGAATTGGGGAATTAGACAATTTGACGGTGAAAAGGAGGAAGCGAAGGCACTAAGGATAATAGAGCTGTTCTAATTTGATTTTCTCCATGATTTGATTTAAGCGACTCGTTGTAATTTCGAGTTTTTTTTATAAATCGAAAAGTATCAAACAAGCAAAATCTTTTACGATTTCAAATCCCAACGTATTGTCAAGAATCTTCATATCACACTTTGAGACACTTTTCCATCTGGTACAATTACCCGAACCCTTCCTATTGGAAAGAATAATTCATCATAATATGACACATATCTAGCAAAAAATAAATTATAATTAATACATTAGAAGAATTGGTCTTAATCAACATGTATTATTATATATTTCATTACTATTACTGTTACTAAGTAAACGGGGTCTAATATCTTCACCGATTACTATTACTATTACTATTACAGAATTACAGCTTATTATTATATAGATCAATGCAATGTTATATAAAAACTTAAATTGGACAGAAGATTTCGGGACCAGTTTTGCTAGAGAACCCCCAAATTTGTCATGTAAATATTCAGATAGGTTATTAGTATATTAACAAAGATTTTACATGATATATTACGTACAAATATCAATCAGAATCTCACCTCACCCCAAAAGTTATGCAGGTTTCTTTAAATGACAATTAATTTCTATTTCTCGTTCAACTGTTTGTAATTTAATTAATAAATTCAAACAAGTCTAACAATTTTCGTAAATAAAATAACCCAAACCAGCTATAATTGTTAATATTAAAAATGTTCCTCATGTGAGTCTTTCTTCTTCATTTACCAATTTAGTGTCTCAATAAGTTTAAATCGCTCCAATAGCATGATAAAGATGAATCGATAGTTGCTAAAATTGACGTTACACACTGGAAATGATTGTAATAATGGTTATTTGAACTTTAAAAAAGATGCTTTCGCAACATAAATAATATAGATTAAATATAATTACATTTCCCTACCAAATTGATTTTAGATATATTAGTATCTGAATTCGTAAAAATAAATTCCGCCACATTCATCATTTTTTTAGTAACCGAGTTCTAGCAATATTCAATACTTAATCCAGTTCACGAGTAATTTCATTCTAAGAAAGAACAAATCCTAATTCTACTTTTCTCTAAAAATGCTTTTTGCTTTCGGAACTGGTTGGAGAAAAGTTAATATTAAAAGTCTTTAATATAATTAATTAATTTATATTCTACGAAAATCACTTATTTAAAGACTCGCCTTTATATATATATAATTAATTCACAGTCACCGGAATCAAAGAAATTTCAATGTTTGAGATGGGGGACGTCCATTATAGTAATCCTTCTTTATCTGGCATTTCTTACATATCTAATTGTTAACGATAAACCGTCGATACAAATATCTTATGAATATTTGGACAGACTCAGCATTCCTGGTATGTTAGCTAGATGTTAAAATTCTTAAAAATTTTCAATCTAATACCAACAGATTTTTTATTTATATTTATATTCTCGCAAAGATATTGAACTCTGTGGTGATTACAGTGATATCGAAATATCTAAATGCGTTTTCCATTGGAATAATAACGAAAACTCTACTGACGGCTGTAGCTCGGAAAGCAGAATATTTGAATCTGAAAAAGTCACGCTATTAAATAAGGACGGGGAGGAGATTCGGTATTGCTATACTCTTCGGACTAATAGTAGTTATTTTTTCAGCGATCCAGGAAATCCCTCCGAAGGGTTGTCAACAAGAGGCATTGACTTTTATTTCAAAATCCTTAACATTTCCTCTGTTGTTGAACATTTTTTGTCCGTGGGAACTATTACAGGCAGAATATTAGATAAAGGTGATTAACATACTTCATACAAAATATTCTATGACTCTACTATACATTATATAATTAATTAATATTAATCATGTTTTAACAGAATACAAGAATTTATTATCAACAAATCCAGTAAAAAAACGATTTGATCAACAAATGAATACGTTCGCGGGCATCCAAAATGTGTCAACTATGGTCAGTTGTTTTTAATCCGTCGATTATATTTCCATAGGGGTTATTACTAAATTTAATCTACACCAATATTCAGGTATTCTTTAAGAAAACCACATTGTCCACTTTACCTGACGATGTCTCCACAATTCTCGGCCTACCTTCTAATTACCATAATACACCTTTCTTTACTACTGTGTCGAAATACTTTCAAATGCATCCAAACGAAAGCTTCCCCTTTACAGGTCACTTTCATATTACTCCGGGAAGTTTCCTCCACGAGGTGCAATCTGAAAAGCGGTAAATCTGATAAACCCATTTCAAAATTTGAAATTCTGGTTTATATAGTATTTAATTATAATCTCTATTTTTTTTCATTGTTCTGTTCATTAGTTCATATACGGTTCTTGGTACTCTGGTAGTGGCTGGTGGTATTTTTGGTAAGTTTAAAAAGGTGATATGGAATATTTGATAGACGCCTCTTGATTGTATATATTTAATCGATTTTGGATTACTATTTTTAATAGGATTGATTGGTGGTATTTATATGTTATTCTTTGGACAACCAAGAATGAACCCTTGGTAGGTTTCCAAAAGCGTTTACTTTGTTCAATTTTTAATTTTCCGAAACATTTAGCTAATTTCAGCAAGAAACTTTTCTAAAAGGGGCCTAATGCATAGTGTTGAATATTCGGAAATAGCACACGAAGCAGACTTCAATAACCTTCCATTCGTCTCAACAACTAAACATGACAAAGAACAAATTCCTACTGTAGAAAGTAGGATTCTAAAATTAGAAGAAATAGTGGGAGAATATGTGACTAAAACATCTGCTCTGCAAGAGCAGATGAGACTTCAAACGGATACAAATGCAGATATTTAACCTTCTGGGAACTTGTTTCTTGTACAATGATAAACCAGAAGTATGGCTTGTTTTTTGTATAATGATGTTATATGGGAGTTTTCATGTGATATCATTATTTTCATTATATATACTTATTTTCTGTATTATCCATGACTTATGATTGTATTTTTGACTTTTATATATATATATATGTTTATTTGATTTTTGAATTCTCAAGTTTCACACATGGGGGCTTATTAACACAGTTTCAAAAAAAAAAGTATTAATATTTAAAAGTGAAGCGTTAATCTACCCATTATTTTTATTTTTAAAAAATTATAATATTCTATTATTTTTTTTTAAACTTAATTACTTAATCGACTGTTCATTTTTATATCTACAAATTCTATAAAAAACTTATTTCAATCATGGATAATTTATCTGTGCAATTATCATCGGTATTATTGATCTTGATTTACATTATAGAGTACATGCAAAAGCCTGGTGGTCTCAAGCTTCTAAAAACTTAAACAAGATTCTAGTATATAATATAGCTTTGTTCCTCCTTAGAAAAAAACATGACCCTTAGATTATAAGTTTAGCGATCGTGGAATGCAACGCTAAAAGCTGTAAGTTGTACAAATACCATTCCTTTCGCCTGTGATCATTTTTATCTAACAAGCATGTTAGTTGATATACAAATTACCATTTTTTCATTTCAGTATAGGTTTTAGACTAGAGCTATTGGTCCAAAAATAATATTATAAATCTGGTTTTACCATATTACAGTTATAACGAAACTCTTAGTTGTTTCAATCAAAGCCTTATAATATCAAGCAAAGTCTTATAATACAGTAATACTACCAATTAGTAGTCTTGTAGAGAATACTAAACTAAATCTTCCTTTTTTCTTCGAATTCAACTATTTTTTTACAACTGCGTACTACTGTTAAATTATTGTCTTTAAAAATTATTTATAAGGCTCCTGGACGAATCAATGAAATCCGACTTGATTCAAGCCTGATTCGACTTATAAATGATTTGATTTGGCTTAAATGTAATACCGTATGAAATAATACAAGAAAACTAATGATGTTAGCCGCTAAAAAAAATTTAGTGCAGAATTCAATGGCATAGACATTTGTCCACCTACATTACTTAGAATGACAAAAAAAAACACACATTTGCTCAAAAAGCAAAATACAATACATCATACCAGGATAAAAGTCATTTAATTCAAATTATTATTATTCAAATTATTATTCGGATTATTCGTTCTATTCGAATTATTCGTTCTATTCGTTTTGTTTGTTCTATTCGTTTTGTTTGTTCTATTCATTTTGTTTGTTCTATTCTTTCTGTTCGTTCTATTCATTCTGTTTGTTTTATGCGTTTTGTTCATTTTATTCGTTTTATTCGTTTTATTCGATAAAACTTTCAATGAAATTCGAATACTCAAATTCATAACGAATAAAATAAATAATTTGAAACATTAAAGGCGAGATATTATAATAACAATAGTAAAATAATAGCAATAATAATAACAATAGTAGTAGTAATAATAATACCGGCAAGCTTAATATCATCTGAAAAGGTTTTTCATCAATTGGGACTTATCAAGTTCTTAGCCGGCTAAGGTTTTTCTATTGGCTAACATCACTATCTGGAACACCTTGTGTAAAAAAAATTTGTGAAAAATCGAATTTTGCGCCAGAAACCCCAAGTTATACAATAGTAATAGGATCTCTAAATTGTTTTGTTACTGCGATAAAAAATTCCTTTATATTCTAATAAAAAAATGAACAAAGGTATTTTTTTCATACACAGAAAAATAACTATTTTAAAAA